GTCACTGACCCTATACAGGATTCACCAGAGGTATGCATAAGAACAAAGCTGTGAGACAAAGGAAATAACGATATATACAGAAGAAAAGGAAAAAAAATCCTTATCTAGAAAGCAAATATTAAAAAATTTATGAAGAAACCTTTTGCAAAGTACGTATGATATTTTTTTTCCCTGCAAATTCCTATGTGCAAATCCTTCTGTACCAAGTTACCTTTTATCTTCCAAATACAAAATAGCAACGATGTCTCAAGATAACATATCAAAGAAACAAGTTTTTTGCTAATCTTCTATCTGTCAATCAACTTGGATAAGTTGATAAAGGAATTCTCTACTTAGCCTCAAACCTTTGTAAGTTGTAAGAAGATTGAGTTAAAAAGACACTTTCCTTCATTCCATGTGATTGACAAACTTTCCTCTACCCAGGATTAAGAGAAAAGCTTTGGAACTAAGTTACTGATAGTTTAACACCATCTATCGGAATAAATATTGTTTATTTTTAATTATCCCACAGAATTTTGATCTAAATAACATAAATGTTGTGTTAAGGAGCTCTAAACTTCATTAATCCTGAGCATTTCTTATTTGCATAATATAGCTATACGAGAGGGGGAGAAGTCCGACCACACCTCCCTGCGGTCCCCCCTGGACTCTTGGAATATTTGAACAAATTCTGGTTCGTTTCCAAGGTGACTAACGTGGCAACGGCACCTGTTTTCCAATGAAGAGCATTGGATACGACAACAACAACATAGCTATACATACAAATGAAAACACCAAAACGCGAATGTTTATTTTCACAAATAACTTCTACTGTCCTTACTGCGATGAAAAAATATATTTGGAGGGCTTGACTCATCAGTGGTGAACCCTCCCAGCGGTTTCGCCAATTTAATCTACAAGACCACTTCTTTAGAATTCTAATTCTGTATTTGATCATTCTGTTTTTATATGCTGCACTGAAGTGTGGAATCTTAGAGCCCTCCAAATATATTTTTCATAGAATAAGGACAGTAGAAGTTTGATTTATTTGTGAAAAGAAACATTCGCGTTTTGGTGTTTTCATTTGTGTTATATAAATATACTGTATATGATTAATAAAAGATTTTGTATGATCCATCTGTTAAAAGAAATCTAAACTATGTTTTACGCGTGTTATTATTTTTTTTTATTTATGTCGTCTCAATTTACAGGTGTTACATTCGAGTCACCTTGTCCTGGCTATTTCCACATGGCGTGGAGTAGAGGTGGTCCCCCTAGGCCTTGCAGGAGGGCAACTGTTGGGCGATGAGCTCTTAACTAAGCGTCAGGGCCGGGTCGTCGGAATCGGGGATTGATATCTCCTTTATTTTGTAGAATATCTTGTATGGTTGGATTATTTGAATTTTGCATTTGAAGGTATAATTTCTTAACGGAAGTTTGGTACATATCTTCTAGATCGGGTTTGTTCAAGTCCTCCTTCAGTATCTTGTTTGATAGGTTGAATGGAGCTCCTATACTTGTCCGAAGGCAGATTCTCATAAATGCGTTTATCCTATTTTTATCTGTGGTTGTAATATATTTGCACCAAACTGGGAGTGCGTATGTTACTATCGGGAGGATACAACTTCTGTATAGAGTAAACTTTTGTTTTGTAGGTAATTTGCTTCTATAGTTGAACAGACTTGATAATGTTATTTTTGCGATTTTTGCTTTCTTTATGATATTTTTGACATGCATGTTGAATTTCAACTTGGAGTCTAAGGTAACTCCAAGATATTTAACGCTGTCAGTCCAGTTAATTAAAGTGATTCTTTTTGATATATAACACAATTTTCTATTGTCCTTACTGCAAAGGATTTTGTGTATGATATTGTAACAGAATAATTATTTACTCTGTTGTATATCATCATAAATATTTGCATAGTCATCACCCCTTACCATGCTTGTATATCACCACTTGTAAAATCAATTGACACATTTTTGCAATATATAAGTTTAATTAATAAATTATTTTTAATTAAGCTTTTGGAATACTTCTCTACCGTAACAATATGTTCATTTTTTTATTAATATCTTAATTTTACATTGAGAATATGTAAATAAAATGTGAAATGCTGTGTGTTTGTAGATCTTTAAGAATGGGGATATCAAGAGGGAAACCTGATACAGACTACAGTTGTCCGTTATGTTCTTTTAAAAGCAAATATTTAGATGTTTTCTTCAACCATCAACGTCTTCACAGCAAAATTCCACGTCTTATTGATCCATCAAGAAGATTTTGTTTCAAATGTAACATTCAATTTCTATCAATCTTTACATTTATAGCTCATAAAAATTTCTATTGTGAAGATTTAGTTACAAAAGACGACCAGTCAAATTCAAAAAATCATCAGGATCATTCAAAAAACAATTTTGCTATTGATAACTTATCATTTTATTTATCTTTTGATAAATTCCGTTATTTACAAAGAAGAGCTAATACTGTTGTTCAAAATTTATCTGAAAGATCAAGTTTATATGCAGAAAAACTTTCAGCATGGGGAAGTCATTATATGAAAAAACGAAATATGAAAGATGAAAGTCAATTAAGAAATTCAAAGAATTTGCAAGAAAATTTGATATTTTGTGAAATTTGTAAGAAACAATATAAAGAAAGTTATTATAATATGCATATTTCTATTTTTCATATAAAAAAATAGAATAAATCTTCAATTTTTATGCTCTTATAAGTAGGTTCTGGTATCCAGTGACGTCATACTTCTCTATCTTAAGTTTTTCTCCTTATTTCTTCATAACTTCCCATCCAGTCCATCAGTCCAATTCTTTTTAATTCAGTTTCTCTGTTCTTGAGCAGGTCTAGGTCTCCAGTGACGTCATACTTCTCTATCTTGAGTTCTTCTCTTTATTTCTTTATAACTTCTCATCAATTCAATATTTATTCCATTCATCTTACCTTCCAAAACCTTCTTAAACAGTATTCTCTAATTATATATTCTTTTCAATTATTATTTATTTTCTCTAAAAAAAAATGCTCCAATGACCCCCAATTCTTGCAAAAGACCAATTCTACCAGTAAGTGCAAGTAACCAAACGGGACTCTGGGCACATTTTTAAATTCAAACTGTTTTTCACGTGTGTAGACATATGGTGCACTTACAATCTTACCCACCATGATTATCATGGCCTGTACCACAAATCCTAGGAATAATTTTTTGAAAAAATCTCTATTTTTATATATTGTTGCACTGTTCTGTGTGTCTTCATGTCAATATTTAATTGTATATATTGTATACTCATTATATATATGTAATTTAAAAAAAATCTCTCCTTATCGCGCGCATGCAACTGAAAGTTACTGATGGCTTACGCCATCTATCGGAATAATTATCAACTATTCGTTTATTTTTTAATTATTCCAGAATTGGCCAAATATTTTAATTATTATATTATAATAATTAAAAATTAACGAGTAGTTGATATTTACTCCGATAGATGGCGCAACCCATCAGCAACTTTCAGTTACACAATAAAGAGAGGCCTTTTTCTTAATTTATGCACCTTATCCCAGTACAATTTCACATTTGGACCTATTGTCATATATTTTAATAATGGATAATTACAATAACATTAATTTTGCGATTATGAAAAGATTGTTTTTTAAGGTTTGTTTGTTTTTTTCTTTGATTTAAACGTTTATTTAAAAACGTTAATTGAGTTTTTTACTAATCTCTCTCATATCTTACGAGAAACTGCATATAAAACGTAGAGCATACAGAATAATATCTGTAACCTTTATGCAAATATAATTATAACTTATGTACATATTTCCCATATATATTTGTTAACTTATTCTAATTTATTTCTCTCATTTTTTATCCTACTTATTGGTATATCAAGAGAATCTTATACAAGACCAAAGGTCTTAATAAAGATATTGATTGATGTATCCATGTATATATGATGTCTTAATAAAATATTTTGTATTCGTCTGTTTGCCCTCATTTATTACAATATCATCAACAGAAAGATTGAGTTGCATAAACAATAACGTTCCCTTGAATTATACAATTAATTCTTCTACCTCACAATTTATTAAATCAGATAAATTCGAAACTATTATAGACGCGTATGATTCTTTTTAAAAATAAACAATTTCTACTGTCCTTACTACAATGGAAATATTAATGGGAGGGCCTGGCTCATCATTTAAAAAGAATCATACGCGTCTATAATAGTTTTGAATTATGATAACAGATGGCACGCTAATATATCATAATATAAATCATATAATTGTTGCAAAAGTCCAACCTCCCACCAGTAAGTTCAAGTAACCAAACAGGGCTCTGGCACGTTGTAATTGCAAAAGTTGAATTACTTTCTATATGGGTAGTTACATTCTGCAACAATTCGATTTTTTGGCACAATGTGTTTCTTTTCATCTCTACAGAACTTACTGCAATGATAAATGTTATTGAATGATGAGAGGTCTTGGCTCATCAGTGGTGAACCCTATTAGTGGTTTCGCCAATTTATTCTTCAATGGACATAAGTTTATAGGTCTGTAGAGGTACATACATTTAATTTAAAGGTATTACATCGAGCAAAGCTCTTCCGAAAACTTTGGATAAACCACTGAGAGGGTTCACTACTGATGAACCAAACCCTCTCATTCAATAACTTATATCATTGCAGTAAGGTCTGAAGAAATAAAAAGAAACACATTGTCAAAAATTAATTGTTACAGATTATTTCGATAGATGGCAATTAAATTTACAGATGTATTTTTTTTTGCTTATCCCTAGTACACGTGGTACAGGCCATGATAATCATGGTGGGTAGTTAGCGACTGCTTTTTACTGTAAGCGCACCACATGTCTACACATGTGAAAAGCAGTTCGACTTTGCACTTACAAATGTGCCAGAGCCCCGTTTGGTTACTTGCACTCGCTGGTGGGGGTTGGACTTTTGCAAGAATCGGGGGGCCATTGGAGCATTTTTTTTTTTTTTTAAACAGAAAAAAGTGTCCAATGCGGGAATCGAACCCGGGTCCTAGTGGTCGGAAACCAAACGGTTTAACCAGCCTTCCACCTATGTATAGATATATAATGCATTTACAATAAAAACAGTCAACCAACTTCTATCCACCATGATTATCATGGCCTGTACCATGTGTAATAGAGATAATTATAACAAAATTATTATTTCAATGACATGTAGACCTATATACCCTTTATTACAATCTCGGGAATAAATAATTTGAAAATTGATATTTTTATAATTTTGGACTAATCAAGAGAACATCCAAATTTTTCTAGGCAATATCTCTCTCTTTCTTAGGAAACCTTAAATCTATTTCTTGGTCTCTCCTGTAGGTGGTCTCTTATTAGAGGTTCAAAATCACATTAATAGGTACCGCTCAACAAGAGCAACCTAGTTCATGATAATTGAAACAATGAATAACATGTTCACATATTAAACAAAATGTTAACGTGGGATTCAATCCCAGTTCATGACTGTCGGGAATCGAGGGTGTTACCCACTCGTCCACCGACTTCTTTACAAAATTTTAAAAATATTTGACCGGAGTTGTTTCTTATTTTAAAGAAAAATAAAATGATTCTTCCACACACGCTCTTTTAAAACATGGAAAATGAAGATAAGAAACTTACCCTTAAAGGTAACCAATTGAATATTGATTTTTTTTTTTGCAAAAATGGTACCTCATAGTCGTTTTTTTTTTTTACTTTAGTAATAAAATGGGTCGTTTAAAGAACATACAAAAACATAAATATATAACATACCTTATACATAGTTATACATAATAACATAGCTGAGTCAAACTGCTTTTCACATGTGTAGATATGTATTACAGTAAAAGTAATCACCTATTTCTACCCACCATGATTATCATGGCCTATACCAGGTGTACTAGGGATAGGCAAAAAAAAAAACATAGCTGAGGATTTTACAGTCTTAAAGAAAGATCTTTGTAAAGGCTTATGTATCATATGTAAATATACCAGTGTTTTTATTCTTTTGTTTATTTTTATCTTTTTCTTGGATTTACCCAGATTAATCTATTTATGAACTCAATTGTCTTAATTAAGTATATACAACAAAAAAAAAAGCTTTATTAAGACCATTTGGTCTTATACAGATTCTCCGAGTAGAAGAAGGTATATACAGAAATAACAGTAATAGTAACAATAATCAGCAATGTTATTTACAATGTAAATTTGAAACTATTATAGACGCGTATGATTCTTTTAAAAATAAACAATTTCTACTGCCCTTACTGCAATAATAAAAGCAATTGTAAGGGCAGTAGAAATTGTTTAATTTTTAAAAAGAATCATACGCGTCTATAATAGTTTCGAATTTTCATAAAGGATGGCATGCTAATGCATTATAATGTTATTTATAATGTATTGTAATGTATATATTCAAAAAAAAAAAGAGAGAAAAAATAGAATTCCTAATATACTTGTACTTGATAATGGAAACTCAAAAAACCTAATTAAAACAACAACAAAAATCTTTATTAAGACCTTTTAGTCTTATACAGATTCTCCTAGTAGAAATGTAGGATACATACAGGAATAACAGTAAAAGTACCAGTAATAGAGGCATTGTTATTATTCCAAAATCACTTTATTAGGTACCGCTCAACAAGAGCAACCTAGTTTATGATAATTGAAACAATGAATAATAAGTGCTTTGGTCAATTTAGATACCATCGCAATATGTCAACTTCTCTCTTCAGCTCTGGATGATGAATTACTGATTGTTAGATACTTTAAGTTCTGCACTGAAGCTGGGCGCATGAGAAAGAATGCAGGGCAAGGGATACTAGAGGATGACCTATCTGTAAATAGGTAACTGAATGGGAGACAAACTTTATTTTGTTGTAAATGTTTCCTCTTCCCTCTCCTCTTGTTGATGTGTAAATACGGCGAATCCTATGTGGGCCGGAATGCCCTGAATAAAGGCTTTTGTTGTTGTTGAATAATAAGTGAAGGTTATTCACATATTAAACAAAATGTTAACGCGGGATTCAATCCTGGTTCATGGCTGTCGGGAATATCAAATATGGGGAAAGAAGAAAGAAAAGGTTTGGTATGAACATTTCTTGTAAGAAAGACTAGATTTGTGTTTCTAATTAATCTTGTTGAAGAGTGATTACTACTTGAAAATTAGCATTTTAAAATAAAAAGATACTCATTGTGAGAAAAAAAATTGTAGTTTTTAAACGCTTTTCGCAATTTTGTTTTGAATCATAAACTTATATACAAACAAACGAGAACAAGCAATTCCTTTTCTTAAAGAACAATAATTAGAAGTAATTTACTGTATATAAATTTTGTTTTTAATTATCCCTAGTACACGTGGTACAGGACATGGTAATCATGATGGGTAGAAGTAGGCGACTGCTTTTACTGTAAGCGCACCACATGTCTACACATGTGAAAAGCAGTTCGACTTTGCACTTACAAATGTGCCAGAGCCCCGTTTGGTTACTTTTTAATTATCCCTAATACACGTGGTACAGGCCATGATAATCATGATGGGTAGTTAGCGACTGCTTTTACTGTAAGCGCATCACATGTCTACACATGTGAAAAGCAGTTCGACTTTGCACTTACAAATGTGCCAGAGCCCCGTTTGGTTACTTGTACTCGCTGGTAGGGTTGGACTTTTGCAAGAATCGGGGGCCATTATGGGATTTTTTTTTTTTTTTATCAGAAAAAGTGTCCAATGCGGGAATCGAACCCGGGTCGTAGTGGTCGAAAACCAAACGGTTTTACCAGCCTTCCACCGAACCCCCGTATATAAAAATTTAATTGATATCATTAAATGTGATTAAATTTCACTTTTTAAATTATTTTTATTTGAAGACTCTATGGTAAATCCATGTAAAAGGCTATATGTCCTAATAAAGACTTGTGTGAAAAATTCGAAATTATTATAGACGCGTATAATTCTTTTTAAAAATTAAACAATTTCTACTGTCCTTACTGCAATGGAAAAATTAACGGTCGGGCCTAGCTCATCATTGGTAAACCCTCCCAGCGGTTTCGCCAGTTAAATCGTATGTTTAATGGTAGGATAAACTGGTGAAACCGCTGGTAGGGTTCACCACCGATGAGCAAGGCCCTCTCATTAATTTTTCCATTGCAGTAAAGGCAGTAAATATTGTTTAATTTTTAAAAATAATCTTACGCGTCTCTATAATAGTTTCGAATTTTCATAACAGATGGCGCACTAATGTATCATAAAGACATATGTGTGTTTAAAATACCATTATTATATTGTCAAGAAATTGGTTTATGTAAATCAAATGCAAATCAAATGTCTCTATTAGTAAAAATGTCCTATAAGCTTATGTCCATAGTTATCTTGAAAACCATTTCTGAGATTCCATCCTTCAGTGTTGCGTATATAAGCAGAATCGTCCAATACAGTATTAGAGCTCTGAGAAGCGGTCTGGTGGATTAAATTGGCTGGAAGGGTTCACCACTGATGAGCCAAGCCCTCCCAATATATTTTTTCATCGCAGAAAGGACAGTAGAAGTTTGTATTATGTATAAAAGAAACATTCGTGCTTTTAAATCCTTTCATTTTATATGTAAATACTTTTATGTTTAATGTTATATAAGAAAGGTATGTAAATTCTGATTTTTTCATTTCTAGTTTTGTTGTGAGGAAAGCATCACTCACGAAGTTTACCAATTGATTAATAGCTAAGTCAATGGCCTGCCACTGAGTAGTGCTCCCAGTCTTAATGACAAAGGCATTCTACTTCACCCAGTCATAATGGTTGTCAACTTTACAAGCTTGATACCTTAATATTATTAAGTGGAGATAAGAAATAAGATGTTTTTGTAGCGTAGAAATCAAGTCTTGTAATATCAACAACAACAAAAAACCTTTATTAAGACACTATTGTCTTACAAGGGGATTCCCCTAAAAGGTTATATATGTACATGAGTGAGGAGGAAAAGCAATTTAGAGGGGAGGGGGAGCAATCAGCCGTTGTCTGTGGAGTTGAGCACTTCTTCCCTCATTTTATCAATCGCCTTGAAAAGTTTAAAATATTTGTAAACAAATGTTTTATCCAGCAGGAGAGTAGTGAAGATTTTATATACATGTTGTTCATTGTAGTGAGTTAGCCCCGAAATTTCGCCAATTTTCAGTCTCTTTTCATGTAGGAATGGGCAATGGAAGAGATAATGGACCAAATTGTCTTGGATGCCAACATTGCAGAAGAGAAGTCTTGGAATATCTTAAGATGTCAAAGTATTTATTGATGACGTCAGTAAGACTTGTTGACAGTTACCCAACAAAACTATTTACAGCTAGAGAATATTGAACAAGCAAGCTAAGTAACATAAATGATTATTTTTACAAATATAACATTTTAATTCTGTTTCAAATATTTTCGTTAAATAATTGAATATAAATTATATTCGTCACAATATAAAACTTTCAAAATAATTATACATAATTACAATGAAAGAATATATACCTAAGCAAAGTAAAACTCGTTGTAGAAACATCTTTTGATATTAAGTAACAGTTTCGTCTGCAATAAAAAAACGAGGAATAGAATTTACAAAAATCTTTAAACTAAAAGCCCTTTTATCTTTTATAGCTAATATATATTTTAGGATGATGTCTAATTCAAAAAAATGTCTTTTTTTTTCTTTTTACGATATCTTTTTAATGCATTTTTGTGTGCATACACGAATTTATACATGTTACAAAATGGGTACATTGTCAAGGGATCCATTTTATTTGAAAACCATAAAATAAAAAAAAAACATGTATAGTTTAAAAGGTTTCATTAACTATTCAATTCATCTTTTGATTTTTTTTTTTTTTGTCAAAAGATGAAAAATACACGTTTTTTTTTTTTTTTTCAACTTTGAGAAAAGGGGTTTATAAAAATTAATGAATGAAAATTTTATGCGAAAGAGATGTACATTAAATATATAGATATTTTTAAATGGATAATTGATTTTTTATATTTCTATAAAAGTTTGTGTATTTAAGATTTTATTAGAATTTAGTTTTTGATGGGTTTTTAGAAAGATATAAAT